TGGCCATTTTTTGGTTGCAGCCATCATTGTTGTTTGGCGGGCCCAGGCTGGGGATTCGAACCCGCCACCTTAGGCGTATGTGGCTGGCACCTTAGCTGCTTGAGCCACAGGCACTGAGCCCTGTAGCCTTTTCTATAAGTCAGGGTATATAAAGTGGGGGAAAATAAAGACTCCAAGAAACAGACCCCAGAAAGAGCATTCACCAGTGGGAATAGGAACTCCCAGTGCACCTGCTACTCCAGGAGGGGTGGGGAGATAGCAGTTCTGGTCAGGGTGCTGGTGGCTGGTAGAGCAACTCAGTTCAGCTCAGCTGTCCTTGAATTAGGTGTGTATTGGGGACAAAGAGGGCTGTCTGCATGGCGAGGGTGGGTCTTGTTAAATGGGGTTGCTCTGCGGCCCAGGCAGGTGAACTAGGGCAGGCCTATGAGGCCCAACAGCAGTGACGGGTAGGGGTAGGGTGAACTGGAGTGAATCTTCCCCTAGGTGCCTCCGGAGTGGTGGGGCTTGGGGACGATAACCTAGGAGGGACAGGTGGCGGCCCAGACTGAGTCTGATCACCTGTCCTGGGTTCCTGGAACTTCTAGGCAGGATGAGTCGGGAATGGATTTATGTCTATCAGTCTGTGACAGCCACTGCTGCTAACTTAACATCTGCAAAGCTCCCAGCACAGCGCCCGCACACGGGCTGTTTTTCAATTAACGGTAGCAATTTTCATGAACGCTGGGAAGAAGTGACCTTAGCTCCATCTAATAGACCTATTTAAAGATTTCCCTCCACTAATTCTATGTTACTTTTGAAATGTCTTTCAGTCTGTTCAGGCCAGATGTGTGTTTGCTCCGGAACTCTGTAGGAACAGACATTTTTAACACCACTTGTAGGTTCTTTTAGGGTCCAGTGTTGGACTGTGGTAGGGAGGATGGGGGTCTCATCATGTTACTGATGACGTAATAGACTGGCAGGCTGACCATTCGCAACACAAAAATTCTAGTCATACTAACTCCAGGCCGTCGTGCCAGGACGTTGAGGTCTTTCTTGTGTATATTTTGGACTGCATCCGTGAGTCCACCCATTTGTAAACTTGATAAGGGTGTGGTTCAGGTCATTGTCCAAGTTACTGATGAAAAAATTTAAATAAACAAGGTCAAGGCTGGATTCCAGGGGCATTTCCAAGGACACCTGCTTGCGGTGTGTTTTGTTACCGAGTAAACATTCTTTCTTGGTTTGTACCCACCTCAGCAGGCATTAGCTGAGCCACCCAGAGCTGAGGAAAGTGGCAGGACTACGATAGCAATTTGTATTATTGGGGACATTATTGTCAGGCCACGTGTTACGCTGCTTTACATCAGTATTCCCGGTTAGTGTCCAAATGGAGGCAGATTTCTCCCAATTTGCAGGCTTCCAACACGGATTAAACTTTACTCCTATCCAATGTCACAGCTCCCCGTGGGGTCTGAGGTGTGTCTCTCCCCAGCTGAGAGCTGACTGGTGTGTTACTGCACCCTCCACACCAGTTCTTTGAGCCAAGCCTGGATCTCGCAGTTTTTTTTTGTTTTTATAGAGACAGAGTCTCACTTTATCACCCTTGGTAGAGTGCTATGGCATCACATGGCTCACAGCAGCCTCCAACTCCTGGGCTTAGGCAATTCTCCTGCTTCAGCCTCCTGAGTAGCTGGGAATACAGGCACTTGCCACAACGCCCGGCTACTTTTTGTTGCAGTTTGACCGGGGCTGGGTTCCAAACCAGGAAAATGAAATCGTGAAATGCTACAACCCTCCCTCACTCACTGGAGTCATTCAAAGAATGAACAAGTCCACTCGTTCATTGCCTTTTCTTCCCGAGAAACACATGTTGATAACACGATTAGAGTTTCATTCTTCCCAGGAGGGCATTAGAAAGCCTCAACTCAGTGGTGAGTTTGTCATTTTGAAGAAAATGGATAAAAATAACCAAAACCCCCCTCCATACACTATTAGGTTCAACGATTGGCCCCATAGAAATAATTTCTCAACTCATCCCAGCTACTTGGGAGGCTGAGTCAGAGGTTACTATGAACTATGCCACTGTGGTGCTCTACCGGAGGCCACAAAGTGAGACTCTGTCTCCAAAAACAAAAAGTCAGGCCCACTTGCCATCCCCTGTTGGTAGAACTGTGTTCATTTCAGGCTCCCATCTGTCTTTTGCACCATTATTCCCGAGTAGCTGGGACTACAGGTGTCTGCCACAGTGCCCGGCTACTTTTAGAGATGGAGGTCTTGCACTGGCCCAGGAGGGTCTCAAACCTGTGAGCTCAGGCGGTCCACCTGCCTT